GCAGAATTCCAGGTACAGAGCATCACGAAATACCTCTTCAACTTGAGTGAAGAATACAAACCTAAGATGGTGGATGTCCTTGAAGCAACAGAACGCACCATTCAAAAGAATCACAAACGGGCTCTTAATAGGGCTAAAGAGCGGGAATTTAAGGTGGGAGACAAAGTTCTCTTCCAAAATCCACGTTCGGAATGTTCAAGGTGGAGATAGAATGTGGAGAGCAATTGGTAGTTAAATCCATTTTTGGTGGCCAGATGGTTTTGTTCAAGGAAAAGCAGTGTGAACTTCCCCTTTGTGCAACACCCCCCAAGTTATCTTTGCTGAATATGCACAATTTCATTCAGAGTTTGGCCTAACTGTGCGTAAGGAGATGTATAATCGAAGTCTAAGGTTGAGGAAAGTGGCTCACCATAGAAGTATTGATGATTTATTGAAGAGTTATTGTCAGGTTCTGGATTATGGACTCCTTGCCATGGAATCGTCGATTTCTGACAGAGAGGAAGAAGAAGCTGTGTTTCACCAGAAGTCTGTAACTGGCCTTCAAACTTTACAGGCTTCGGGTTTTCAGTACTTTCTCTATGGTACAATCTTTTGGGAGAGAGACAGAAAGCAAAACCTGGGAAAGTCAATTCTAAGTCATCTCACCAGTTACGAGGAACACTCTGACTGCTTGTCATGCGTTGGAGAGCAAAAAGAAACTCCATGCTTTCATCCCTGCTGCCAGAATCTTGTGCTTCAGATGGCTGTTAACTGTGGGCTCTTCTGTGTAACAATAGATGGTTGCATTGTACCATCTGATGATAGTATAATGAAAACATCTCAGACAGCTCCAAAGGAAACCCCTCTGTTAAGTAGCCATACAACTGAGGCTAGTACTTCATACCATGATAAAGACAGTATCAAAAGACCCAGCACCCAAGGCGGTGTTGATGAGCCAGTGTTCAATAAGGATGATCTGCTTGACCATACAAATGATGTAAATGTTGATGTCGGATCCAACAGATGCAGTACACCCCAAGGAAGTCTGAAAACCCATGAAGTCATCCTCGGTGAGCCATCCACATCATTGCTGTTCATGCCAGGAAGCAATCAAGGAATGCTATGGAAGCCAGCTGAGTTGAAGGACAAGTGTCAGCAACATCTAGAGAACATTGATCCTTATTGCAGTGAACTGGCCAAGTTTGTAATGCCCTTGAAGGGCTTTCTTGCAGCCATAAATCCTTCTCAAGATAATGCCACAGAAAGAAGTAACTTGAGGTACTTTTTAAAGATTATTGACAAGCATGCAAATAAAGATGTACAGAGCCAAGTGCGCCTAAGTAGCAACAATGGCAGTCAGGAGTGTATGCAAGTTCGAGGGTACAGCTCATTCTGTGGACTTTGTGCAATGAACAATGCAATAGGTTGTTCCAGGAAAGGACCTACTATGTTCAATTTGTTTGACCTAGATTTGGCAGCAGACATCATTTGGTTAAAACAGGTTTGTGAAGTTGGCTGTGGATTTTCTGTACCTTTAGAGCTTATGCGGGGTCTTGATGGTGACTACAGTATTTTAGCAATGGAGGAGGCAGCAATTAGGAAGAACTGTACATTTCAAAGACTAGATTTACCCTTGAGGGCACTTGTGGATGGTGCTGCAATTCCCTTGACCCCAGCAGTCTCCAGGAATTTTATTCCCTTCTTCTGGGATTGTGCCAGGCAGATGAGAGACCATCACTCATTGTGAGGACAAAGGAATATCACTTTGTTACTCTGCTCTTGAAAGCAGATGCAATTGTACTTCTTGATAGTCGCATAGGACATCTGCTCTTCCACTGTCCCTTAAAGATGGCCTAGGTTACATTCAGAGAGAAGCATATCAGAACCCAGATTTTGCTGCTGTAAACCTTCAAGGGCCTGGATCTTATGGCAATCCTGTGAGAGTGAATGACTTGCCGGAAGTTAAGCTGCACACAAATTTTCATTGCACACTGGATGAGGCGTGAGATTTAAGCAGTACCATAAGTGATGATACCATCATTGCCACAATCCATGGAAAAGTCAAAGCAAAAGATGTTCGTACCCTCAAGCCAGGTAACCAAATAAATGATGTCGTGATCAACTACATTGGTCCATTCTTAATAAGTCAGAAAAAGGATGTGTATGTGGCAAGCACCTTTTGGCTAAATCACTGCAGCCAAGAGCTGGGTCTTAAGGAAATGCTTAGGTGTGATTTTCACAAGTATGAAAAGTTTGTATTTCCTGTTCATTGCCCTGGTCACTGGTGGTGTGTCTTAATAGACAGGCCAATGAAGTTGTATGGGGAATTTGACTCCCTTTGTAAAGATCGAAGGAGTGATTATGTTTTTCAGGTCTTGTGCAGGGAATTCAAAACTGCAAATGTTGATATTTCTTCATTTCGAAGGTTAAGTCAGGAGGAAAGAGAAAAGTTGCCTTCTTAAGGACAGAATGTTTTTGACTGTGGTGTCTTTGTGTTGGGTTTTATCAGTGCATTTCTCAACAACTTGGAAATGAATTTCAGCTTAAGGGATATGCCATTCCTGCGGAATTCATTTGCGAAAATTATCATGAATGGGCAACCAGTATGTGACATTAAAAATTGTCCCAGTACCCAAGAAAGTTGTCATCCAGCTTGTGAAGAAGGTGGCCATGGAAGTGTCCTTGGGCTAGTTGGTTGCTCTACCATTGAAACTATGAGATGTAGGGTCAAGAGAATATTTGCAGTGACAAAGAATCTGTAGTAAGTGGTACAGGACTTATACATTGTGCTGGTGAAAACAGCAGTGCAAGAATAGGTGAAGATGGAATTAAGAAATGCAGAACAGGAGTGAGTCCATTTAGTCCTGACAAAACCATGGAAGAGGTTTCTGTTGGTTTTAGTGTTGCTTTTCCTGGTAAGTATGAATTAGGGGATTTTGAGAAGGATTATGAAGATATGGAAGATGATCCATTTGTTGTCCCCCCTCCTCTTCTGCCATTAGACATTCAACTACGGGACAAAGACAGAGTTGTCAAATGAAAACAATATTCAAGGTAATTAATATGTTGACCATTTTCACTCTTTGTCTCTTTGTTTTTGTAATATAAATTTTTTGCTATATTGTTCCATAATTATTCATCTCTATAAACCTTGTTTTTTGGTTATTCGCTAAAGAAAGCATTGTTGTGCCTTTTTACAGCCAGTGAACCAGATGATGAAGATTTGGTCTTGTATGAGCTCCTCAAGCCTCCTTATGATGCTTCTCACGAGGTATGCAGAATTTGTGAGTGATCTGTGGTTTTCTTCTGCTTGGGTTTTCTCTTACATTATTATTATTATTATTATTATTATTATTATTATTATTATTATTATCATCATCATCGTCATTATCACTATTATTATTTTTTTTACCGCTGTTGTTGTTGTTGTTGTATACTATGCAGAGATGTTCTCGTAACATGCCCAGTAGTTTAGGGGAATATCATTATTATTATTACTATTATTATAATCATTTTATACTATGCAGAGATGTTCTTGTTAACATGCCAAGTAATTTAGGGGAATATCATTATTGTTCTTATTATTATTATTATTATTATTATTATTATTATTATTTTAGTACTATTACTTTTGAGTTTTGTTTCCCTTGATGACTAGTTTTGGATGTTTTTTATTGCCTTGTGTCTGCAATGAATTTTAAGTTAAATTATTATAAATACATCTAATGATTAATAGTCCTTTAATTGCTAAATTTGTTTGTTGGGTTAACATAACGATGCGGTTGTTTTCATTGTCCCTTGAGTTAATTTATAGCATATTATCATTAACATACTGATACTTGGTAAGTGGTACTTACCCGATGAAATTAAGCCAAATGTGCATTTTAATACCAATTTGGTGAAGACAGTCTTTCACCAGCCAAGTGTCATTAGATTTTCTTTCCTAATGGAGACTGATTTTCTTCAGAGCTTCCAACCCTACAGATGCTCTATTCTAAAGAAGAAAGGAAGGTATTCCAAGGCCTTAACCCCATCACTGAGCGATATCTTTTCAAACTAAGGAAGGAGAAAGGGATAAATGTTCCAAGAGGGTGTTACCATGCAGTGATGACAACAGAAGAAGTGGTAGATTTTGATTACTGGAGGCAGGTAAGGAAGGGGAAGTCGAGACAAAGATTTTTTCATTACAGGTGGGATAGAGCCTTCGAAGTTTGGACCAAGGAGACCACAGAAGAGTTGATAGATGTGGCAAGTATCTTAGAGCGAGTTGATAGTGATGGATGGGTCTTATTGAACATCACTGAACAGTATCACTATGAAATGTGGAGAGACTGGAAATGGAGGCAACTTGAGGAGAAAGACCTTTTGTAATTTTAAATAAAATCAATAAGGCAAGCTATTTGGCACAGTGTAATACTAATAATTAACCCTTGAACTCCCATGTGTGACCAAGTCAGAATTTCTCTTTACACTATCAATACAATATCAAGCAGACAAGTGATGAGAATAAAGAAAATTATTGATAAGGGGATTATTAGTTGATCCAATACCAAATTCTCAAAACTAACATCACAAGAACTATATGGCAGACAGTAAGGAGAAATACTAATGAGATCTTGGGAGTTAAAGGGTTAAACACTTAATGGGTCATGTGTTCATTCTAAGTTTCAATTGGGTTTTGAAGCATGCTTAATTCAAGTCATATCCAAAATTCCCTTGCTCCACATTGTGAATTGTACTTAGACATGGCCAGAGAACATCAACAGAGAATGTGACCTCTTAAGCATGTTTGCATCAGACCTATGAATTTGTCCACAAAACCTCCTTTGGAATTGTTGAGTTCCAGAGTTTCACATCTAGTGCATTTCCAGAGCAGTAGAATTTAAAAAAATTGACACAACAACATGTCCTCCACCCCTAAATTATCTGATATCAATAATTGCTAATATGAACTAAATTATCAGATATATATAATCTACACGACGTGTGTAGCACTGGTACCTAGTAAATGATCGGTCACTTTTCTCCCAAAATGGCGGCTTCCAATATGGAAATCAGGATGGAAACTGATGAATATTCAGAAGGTATTTGCATTTTCATGCGAACAAGTTTTGCTTTAATTTCTTTTGGCCTTCTTTTCCAGTCTTCTTAGATGTGTCTTATGTGTCTTAGGCACTTGTACAGGCGTAAATGTGGACGTTGAGAGAGAGGACTCTCGAAGTGTTAGCCACGAAAAAAGGAAGATAGGCAAGGTTAGTATTTTCAAACAGTCTGTAGATGCTTGACTGATCCTATTATTTTTATTTCCATTTTTGAAAGCTTGTATTTTTCCTTATGTGGCCTATAATTTGCCGCTTCATTCTTGTATGCCTTGATCTTGTTCTTTGTTAAGCTTAAGGCAGTTAAGCATAGATGCCAACCTGACGAACCTAAAATCGTTAAAACCCAGGAGATCTCTGTCTTCTCGACTCCAAATATAAGTTATTGGATTAAGAAAAGTAGAGGTCCGTTAATTCTACAACAAAAAAGCCACAAAAAAGCATTAAATATCGTCCAAAGATGTTCAAAAAGCGGCGAAAATAAGTGTAGAAATTCGTAGGTCAATGGTAGGTAAAACATTTAATTCTTTCTTCATACACAGGCACAGCCTGCTTCATACATGTCCAGGAGATTTGGTCACCCGTACTTGAGATCAGGAAAGTTTACATAGATGTATAAGCTGAAATCATACCTCAATTGCAATACATTGTAAGTTATTTTAACTTATACTACAGATTAAACAGATTTGTTTGTTCACCAAATAATGCACCAGTCATTTGAAGCTCCATGTCCCCCCTCCTTGGGCATGAGCGGGATAAAGGGAGACCTTCCCTTCAGATTGCATTCACTCCATTTTGGTCCCCCGTTAGGCGGGGAATGCCATCTATATTGACTCACTCGACTGATCAGATCATTCTGCGATTATTGAAGCGACATTTCGCTAACCGAGGTGGCCTCTCCTATAAGCCTGGTGGTTTCTTAGAGGTCTCCTCACCTACATACAACTGTTACTATTGTACTTTTATTTAAATAATGGCTAATAAATGATTATGATTATGATGATGATGAAATACGGCAAATTATAATGCTTTGCAAAGTTTCTTTTTGAAATGTATCGATGAAGGCTATTATAACAAGAGAAATTTTCAAAGTCGGTTCATGAAAGGTAGGCAGATTTCAATGATATTGCATTCATAATTGATTGACTCATTGCAACTCTTATCTCAGAAGACTTGATTGTCTACGACCTATTTGATATTATGATTAAGCTGAAAGTTAATAAGCAATTTTTGGGGGCCGTCTGGATTCATGTCTTATCTTTTTCAAATAGTGGTCTTGTTCCTTGTCTATTGTGGGGCCTTTACAAGTATATTGCTAGCTGCACTGAAATCAGCGTGTTCATTTGATCCCTTGTTTATAATACGCTTGACTATAACAAGTTTCCTTTTACAAGGGAGTACCATGTGTGTGGAACATATGCGGGCGGGGGAGTTCACCATTCAATTTTTCTCCCATGGACCAGGGACTTCACGGTCGGTACTCTGGCTTCACTTGCTTTCACTTGCATTAAAAGTGAATGTCTTGCTCATGCCTGAGGGGGGTGGGGGGTTGCAGGGGTTTCAAATGACTGGTGCACAACATACTTCATTCGAACTAAAGCCTGAAGAGTTTAAGCCGGTACAGATTTTGTGTGTTATTTTGGGGTACTCAAAAAAAAGTTATGTATTATACCAAGATTAATTGGGATGGGTCACATGGTTTACATGAAGTTCTCAAATTTCAGGGGTTTTAGTCATCGTTTGTGTTTGGATGTTATGTACAAGTTTATGCTGTTACATTGTATTTGTACCCACCCTCCCCCACCCTTTGGTCGGTAGGGAAGTTGTCGTTTATCTTTTTCATCCATATCCTTTGGGAAGGCTATTGTTATAGTTTGATTATGACTGTTATTCATGCACTCAACTTTTTTTTGGAATAAAGCATATTGAAATTGATCCAAACGAAGACCATATGCTTGCACTGTAAACTCAAAGCTCATATATTTACAAACAAAACTATGATATCATACGTATTTATAATATAAATTTAAAATGAACTTACCTTCGAAGATTTTGATGAAACCTTCTAGGCTCTTTTCTTGCGGCCACCAAACCACAATATCTAAATTATTTCAGCCCCCGAAAATCATCAATGTTGTACCGTACTGTGCCATGGCTTTTTTGTGTTTATTTTCTTTCATGTGGAATGTGAATTTATGTGGGTGGTGGTGGGCCATGTCTATTTTCCAATGGGTTAAAAAGTTATCTGCATTGTTTATTTAGGGCTAATCTTTTTTATGATTAATAAAGCAGGTTTGTGTTTTAAAAAAGTAACGATGTATAATTCTTTGTTTATGAGTGAATTGTCAAATGCCCCACACCAGACAGCCCGTTATGAGCAAATGCCTCATGGTGGGGACCTACAACTTGTCTAAAACCCGTCTAAAACCCAAATTCCTGGGGGGTGCTCATTGAAATTGACAGAGCCATAGGTCTCAAGCAATTTTCTTTATCTACAAATGAAAAAGGGTCATGTCTTGAATTTCCATTAATAATGTGAGAAAGAATGAAGCAGCTACTATGTTTCCAATCTGTTTTTACTCTTCAGTTACCTTTAAGCTTAGTTATGCTATTATTTTGTTTTATAATATACAAAAACCATAAATATACTTTGAGTTTTATTTTCCTGCTTTCAGAAGTACTTGGTAGTATATTTATACGTTAAAAATCATTTCATGAGCATAACTTTTAAGTTTAATAGGAAGAAAGTGTTATAAAGCAAGCAAAATGATATAATAACTTCATCAGTCATTATCAGTGGCTAATTACCTCTGAGAGTGCAGACAATCATGATAAAAGTTGTTTTCATCAAAGAATTTGGAGCAATGAAGATAACTACCATGATCCCCCACGGGCCGTTCTCACAGGGGTAATTGCCCATTTGCATTATTGAGCCTTCCTTTAACACCTATATTAAGTCCTAAAAACTTAATTTTGAGAACACCTGTCATTCAGACCGGTTGCCAGAAATAGTATTTACTCCCCCTCTATCCTTCATCCCCATCTCACAAAGTGTTCTTGTAAGGCCAACTTGCCTAAATAGCCTAACTGGCCCATAGCTCCAGCACTTAACTCTGGTTTCTGAAGCATTAAGCGGCTGAGAGTTTTGCTACTCCCCTGGGTGGGATTCTAGTCCATCTCAGGTTACTTCCCAGCAGTAAATTCATCAGTACCCATTTATATACCTGGGTGGAGAGAGGCACTATGAAAGTAATGTGTCTTGCCTAAGAACACAACGCAGTGCCCCAGTCGAGGCTTTAACCCGGATAGCTCGATCCGGAGTCCAGCGCACTAACCATTAGGCCACTGCGCCTCCCATAGACCAACTTGCCATTTCCCTAAACATTCCCTGCAACAGTCATTAATACAGTGTATATCATCTATAGTAAAAATTGATAAAGCATACATAAATTGTTTGTTAAATTTTACACTGACATATTGCATAAATTTTATTTTTTTAAAACTAACAGTCTGATAACACTTTTATAACAGTGTTAACTTCAGGTAGTTAGAATTTTACCCTGCAGGTTGTGGATTACTAAACATGGATTATTTATTTATTATTATTATTTTTTATATTTTACATGATTATTTATACTATGTCACTAATATGTGTGCATATCTTTACAGACCTGTTGGGCCTGTGGTGAACAAGCTCCCATAGCTTTAAGGAAATGTAGAACTTGTGGAGATGAGTTTCCCAAAAAGGAAAAAGATTGGGCATCCATAAGAAAGCTTAAAAAACCTAATCCAACCGTGCAGCGAGACCTCTTGGAACGTAGGGTAATTAATTTAATTCAGAAAATTGTAGAATTGTAAATTGAACTTTTGACGTGATGCTCAATATTTCTCTGGGCTACTTGGCGTGAAGTCAGTTAACAAGACACTTGAAGATTCGAGTTATGTAAGTGTTTGTAATTAATCCATTCCTTGAGAAGACCTGTTAAGCACCACCGAGTGCTGGAACAAAAAGGTCGGAGTGGAATATAAAGAGGTGGAGGAGGCCCCAGTAGGGGAAGGGGGTGATCTGTCAAGCCTGCAGTCCAGACAGGTGTTTTACCCATAAGAGAATCAGAGAGGATAGGGTACTAAGCACAGTAGTAGGGGTCAGTAAATATGGAAAGCTTCTACAGTAAGGCACTTGACTTTCACTTATACTATTAGTAACTTGCAAGGAAGAAAGCAGTTCAATTTCAAGGCCTACCCAAAGTGGAAGGCAAAAGGCCTTATGGTTAGTAACTGCACTTGACAATAAGAAAACACACACCACTGGGCCAGAGGGGGCAGATTTAAATGGGGTGTCCGAGCCAAAGGATCATAAAAGTATGAATTGAACTAGGCATAGCCCCTGCCCCAATGGGGCACTTGGCTCATGTGCAAACCTCACCTTTATCATTCCCTTCAGTACTCATAATGATTTGCACTCCTCAAGAGGCCAGTCAACATGCAATGAGAAATTTAATATGTTGGGTCATTCTGGCCTTTGACTTTCTTAGAGGAGTAATAGAGTGTTCTGTTATTCACAAAGACCAAAGTTCCTTCTTGTGCCACCCTTCCCTAAAAACATTAAATGTAAGTATATCATTGCGCAAGACTACTTCCACAATACTAAAAAAACTTACATATGTAAATTTTGTTCTTTTTACCCCCCCCCCCCCCATTCCAAAAAAAACAAAAAACAAAAGTAAAAACAAAAACAAAGAAACCTTCTTGTTAACAGCTTTCATAATAATGGGTTTGAAGTCACCATGAATTAAATTTTTTTATAATGTATAAAATTGCCTTGAAACCAAAGGGAACCTCAAGATTACTAGGTGCCAACACCACAGAGGTAATATCCAACTGAGAAGAAAGATGAATAGCTAACAATGGGAAAGATTGAGATGAACTTGACAGGGCCTGAATTTGTCAAGATCTGGCATGAAGGAAGATATAAGCTTCTTAGAAGGGTTCTTGATATTTTCATTCTATTATGCATTTTGAAATGGGATGTTATTATTTTTGGCAGGCAGATATACTGAATCACCATTGCGACTATGATATAGTCATTATGTTTAAAAGAAAGCACCTTAATGGTGTCTTGATCTCAACATATGGCACTGTTGGGCTTGGGGAAGCCTTTGTCTCAGGAGAAGGAGTAATGGGGACCACATTTAAGGATATGTTTGAGGCCTTCTGTGAGGAATATGGTGATTACCTTAAGATTTATTCCTTGTCATGATGTATCACTTTGAAACTAAGAATGATTAAATATCTAAATTGCAAAATACTCATTTTTGTAAAGAAATTAATATAAAGTAGACACTATTATGAAAGACACTGTAAAAATCAATATGTACAGAAACGTTGCTCTGTCCTTTTAATACAGAATTAGCATGATGTCATTTTCGTGCAGAATGATACCAATTAATTGACCAGTTTTCATTGTTTCATATTGTTAAAGGAAATTGAAAATTACGTATTCATTTTACAAGTGCAATAAAAGATTTTCAATATTTTTATCAGATCTATCTTCAAGGCCTTCCTTCAGTTTGTTAGAGTTTGAAAATTGCCCATGCATGCCGATTTGCTTCTCATATTGTACATTTATTTATCATTTGTATCATAGTAAGCTTTATTTTTCTAGTGCCATTATAGTATAAGCTAATTTTTTTGTGATTACCCTTATTTATTAATCGCAGGGCTATCAAAGTATGCTAGTAGATGGGATTCGAAAGTCATAAAAAAGTTTTTGCAGGGGAAGGGGGGGGGAGGGGTGAAACCGGTTGCTTATAGGTTTTTTAACCAAAATAATTAATCACTCTAAATCGTGTTCAGTTGTATTTTAATGAATTTGTCTTTCCAAAGAAGAGTGATGTTGCAAGTGAAGTCAGAGCACCACCACTCAATGGTATGACATATATATATATACACACATATATAACCTTAACTAACATGATATTAATTACTTAAACTAATACTTACATGTACTACAGTAATATAACTTTCACTCTACTACCAACTACTATTTAAGATTGTTAGTAGTAGAGTCAGTAAAAGTTATATTAATGTAGTACATGTAAGTATTAGTATAAGTAATTTTAGTATCACAATTGATAGCTTCATATTCTCTGCAAAGCTATATAGCACACCACCTAATTAATCTATCACAAAGAGTAGAGTATGAATTCCCAGGGGTGTAGTCTGGCCTTTCTTAGTTTTTCTCAAGGCTGGGGTAAGAAATGCTAGGAGATATGAACTACAATGAAGCTGCTCTAAAATCTGATGGTATTCACTTCCCTTTACAACGATATATGTAAATTACACGATATTCTCTTCACCATCTGATTCCAAACACATTGAAATACATGATCACACACATTTATTTTGTTTTTTAGAAAATTTTAACATGCTGCTTAAGTTGTTAGGTTTAAACCAAACTTCTTAAAGCACTTGCTGTACCTTCTGCAAATGTTACTATTCTGACATAACTCCACAATGCATTCATACATGTTCTGACTATTTCCTTTTGGTAGAATTATACTTACAAGTGCACTAATGCCATTGGTGTGTAGTGGCTGGAGGTTGTCTGCAATTACAGGGCATTTTTTTCTGATGCTTTTTATGCTTGTTTCAATATTAAATTTTTTTAAATTATTTGTGCTCATACCCCGTGGCAATAATTTTTTAAAAAATATATGGTTTAATTGCTTTCAGTCTGATTTTTTCAGTTATCAATACATCACATCATTGTTATTATAATTAACAAAATAACAATGTTTAATTTAGTAAGCAGTCTATTGCTCCAGATTAATTTTTAATTTGGATCTAATTTATTCTCTTTCTGGAATAAATGTATATTTCTTATCAGATGATCGTTTTGACCACCCTGCTTCTCAGCCAAGAGTGGGCGAATGTGCACATGTTGAAGGCACAACCTCCCATGCACCATCAACTGGTATGATATATTATTATAGCTGTAAGGCTATTGACAAATGATGGGCATAAATTGTGGTTTGAAAATGGCCATGTATTAGATTCATTCAGCGTTTAAACAAAATGTACTCAGAGACTGAGGTGGAATGCCTCATTATGAAAGCTCTGGTAATTGACTAATTTCAGACCATGGTCATGAAGGAATTTGCATTATCAAGAGAAGAACTTGACATACCGTGTGTTTCTCACCTTATTTACCAGCTAACAATGTTCCTGACTCGCTGGATCATCAGGCAAGAGGGAGCACAACTGAGGGAACAACGTCTCAGCCATTATCACATGGTATGGACACTGTTTATACATATATGTGTTTCTGCGTATTTATAAGCTATGTATCATGCAGTACAAAACCCAACAACTAATTTGACCTGATGCCATTCAATTCCAAATGACATTCAGATGAAAGGCTATCGTCAAGTGCTGTGCTACCTCTGCTTAAAAATTCAATTTGGCCTATTAAAAGTTAGAAAGGAAAATCGAGGTGATGCTACTTTTGACCCTCTCGCATTGTTATGCAGATCCTACCACGTTGGCCAAATCACGAAAAGATGAAGAAGGAGATTTGGTCACTGCTGTGAAACAGAAGTTGCTTAAAAGAATTTTGAGCCAGGTCACACCCAAGAGAGAACCGGTCACCACACCCAGAAGAGCACCAAAGAGAGAACCGGTGACACCACCACCGACACTTCCCATCAAAATACCCAAAAAACAACCAGCAATAGTACCAGAAAACGTACCGTGGAGTGAATTACCGTTTGCCGAAGAAGGACCTGAACCAGATCTAGAAGCTGCAGTAAAGAAAACTTTGAGAAAGATGAGAAAGACACCGCGATACCTCAAACAGTTGAGACCAGCCAAAGGGTGGACAAGTTGGGATCCGTCAGGAAAAAAGAAGAAGAAAAAATCCGAGAGTTCTATTTGGGGTTCCGTTGTGAAACCCTTAGGTTCTATTGCAAAACGATTAGCATTTGATGATGATGGTGGTGGTAGTAGTAGTAAAACTTGAAAATAATTTTTATTTGACATGTTTCTTTAAAAAATAAAAAAGACACCTATTTTTCATCTGTCTCTTGTCATAAAAATTAACATACAGGGGGATGGGGGTACCCCCCCAGGATACCACATGTCAACGGTGACAGATGAGCTATACAAAGGAACACCTTCATTACACGAAGTCGCATTCTTCACAAACCTTTAGCGTGAGTGAACAAGGTAAAACAACAACCCACAAGACGGCAAGAAGACGAAGAAAACGAAAGAGGTATCGTACATGTCATAAAAAAACAATGTCTTTCGTCACTATCCTTATTGTATATTTTATATTTATGTAAAAAAAGGATGGCTGAACGACACAGCAAAAGACTGAAACATGAAGAGCCCGATGTCGTCACGAGCGAGTACGAGTGTTTCGTATGCCACCTAAAATCTGAGACCTGCGAACGAAGTGTCCAACTCCCTTGTTGCAGACAATATGTACACCGTCGCTTTCAGATGAAATGGGAAAGGCATCACAATACTTGCGGGCTTTGTCGTGAACCCAGTCAGACCAATTGGTCCTCTGACAACAACGACGCTGCCGCTGCTGCAGAGGCTGCTAGAATGGAAATCATTAACCATTGATCCAACATGGATACGGAGCGCATTGCAAACGATGTCCTCAACATGACGAGGGAAGAGGTCATTCGACGTCTTCGAGAACTCATTGATTCTCCCACATTGGACAACCAATTAGAATGGGTAAGAGAGGATGAATTCATAATTCGATATTATTTTATCTACTCTGATACAGATCACCTTACCAATTGAGAAACAAATTTTCTTCCCGTAGATGCCTAATTTGGTAATAAAAATGATGATGTCTTATATGATGCCGGCCGAACAAACAACGATAAACGTGCGAGAAAGAATCCGAAATTACGCACCGTTGTACGTTTCATATGACGCTGAACGTCATGAACCTACATGGATGCAACGGCAATTAGAAAGAGCCAATAGAATATTTCATTTACATATTAGTAGTCAAGCTTTATTGGAACAATTTCACGAAAGATTATTAGAACGATTAAATACTTTTTAATTTTTTCATTTCTCTTCTTTTTTTAGACTCACGACCTGATCTTAAAAGAATTACTCAAATTCTTATTACGTTGCGAATTCCATTCCGATCGTCATTTTTTATTAGAACAACAAATCATCTTTTTGTTCATGAGAACCATAAATGTACAATATCGCGATAGGATGGTTGATATTGATTTCTAAGAAGACGATTTTCAATTGAACAGCATCTTTGAATATTTATATTCCATGTCCAGATTATTATATCGTCGTCAGTAACAAAAGATATTTTTTTCCTAGGCACCAAAACAAGCTGAATTGCTGGTTTATATGTATTATTTTCACGTTAATAACAATAATAATTCTTCGTTTTAGGTTGCTACTCACGTCATACAAGGATATCAATGTTTTGCATATCATTTACATGAAACAACTCGTCGCTATTCCGAAGCAACTCAAACACAACTTCGAAATGAAATGAATGCTTTTACATTAAATCATTCAGATGATCGATAATAAAAACTTTTTAGATATTTCTGAACATTTTATCTAGGCCTTTGATCAAGATTTATGGTTTTCGTTGTACGAATCTGATACACCTAGTTACTTTATTTGCTATAATACAGTCAATCCTATTTCTCTGGGTACAGTCTTAGAAATCAACTTTGAACAACTTTCTGTCTTTTTTTTATTTTTTTCAGTTCGATTTCGTGCTTCAAAGAAGTTTTCTGCTTGTTTTTCAACAAATTATTGATCATCTCGATAACGACATATTCGAAAATCAAGACACACGAATTTCACTCACGATTCATGTCTATTTAAATAGACCTACATATGATTCCATTATAGATTTAAGTATCATAGAAAGAAACGTTAGAAGACTTTTATATCATTTTCTTCCTCTTCCTATCTATGATTTGTTTGAAATATTTACTATTCAAGTTCATTTTGAAGTGTGTCAACCATATCATGAAGAAAGAGTTGAAATCACTAAGTACCTAGTAGTTATCTAGTTCCTTTTTTGTTTTTTTCAGTTCGATTTCAAGATTAATTTGAAAGAAAAAAAAGACTTTTTATATGCAATTCAACTCCATGTAGAAATGCCTGATCATTATGATGGTACTCAATTATGTAACGCCGTCAGGTTAATCATTCATGAACAAGGTCCTAAAGTAGAATGGAAAGTTGTACATGGAACAAGTCAAAATTACCATTCCGTTTTAGAATTTCTCTTATTACCTACGGGGTTTTTTTCAATTATTTAAAAAAAAATCACGTTACATTGCTTTATAACGACCCCTATTTCAATCCATTTTTCACACCTATTTTTCACGTAATAAAAACGGAAGGTTACATGTTTTTCGATTCGGCAGATGATTATTATAGATGTTTGGATCTATTGTAACTTGTAAAAAACACATTTTTTCAAATAAAAAACAATCTTTTTATTTTGACAACAACTGTGTTAGTGGTACTTTTGCAAAATTCATTCTTGATATTAAACTGTTCAATGTCGTTTTTTTACTCAAAACCAACCCTTCCTGAGCCTTTTTAGACTTCTTCATCATCTTTTTCACTGATACTTTCTTCCTCTTCAACGTCTGAGACTGAGATGGTTTCCTCTTTTTTGAAAATTTCTTTTTTTTTGCAAGTTGCAAGTTTCAACTTTCTTATGGCTTTCATAAGTGATCCCCTTTGAAGAATTATCCACCAAAGGTACTGTATCAGAAATAGCTCCCAACGGTAATTCCTCCGGCATTGTCACAGATCATTTCTTCTTGGATTTACCCACTTTAGACGCACTATCTGTCAGTGAAAATGTCAATACCCTCTTGACAGGTGGAAACGACACGCGATCTGCCATTGTTACAACTGACAAAAAAAGATATATTGACATCTTTTACACGATTTTTCCTATAAATTCAACCACTAATCACACACTTCTTTCATTCGTAAACATGGATCAAGAAGAAAAACAAAAACTCCTTCATCTCATTCAAGAAACAAACCAAATCATCGAAGATCTCATGCAACTCTTTGAAAGGACAGAAAAAAGCTTGCATCTTATCAAAGAAAGGAAAGAAAACATCGAAAAATGGACCACAAAATCCAACCAAATCAATAAGATGATGTACAACTACACCACTACACTCAGGATTCGAGAGAACTATCTCCAAAAACAACTGGACAAACAGCAAAACCATCTGCTAAAAGACTGAAAAAAATCCGCACCAAAAAATGCTGTAAATAAAACCTCTTTTATTGTATTTTTATCTTAGTACATTGTCTTTAATCCCCTTTAATGCTTGTTTTCCTAAAAGAAATCCCAATTTCCCAAAAGGTGATGGTCCTGATAAAAACATGCTCCCACCCGCTGCTATCTTGTCCTGTAAAGACGGTCCTCTACGTAATATCCTACGAACCGTACTCGCTGAAGCGCCACCCGCTTGACTTCGCTTTCGTCGTCTTCGTCTTCGTCTTCGTGTTACACGCATTTTTTTCCTAATTTAAAATCATACCACACGTGTCTTTTATGTATTTTTTTCGTGCTCAGGCGCCTCCGCGGTTTTCAAAATGGCGATAGAATGGAATGTGAAAATCCTGCGATCTGATTGGTCCATTTTTAAAATACTCGATTCTGATTGGCTCTCCGCTATACTGGCTCATTTTACTACTGACAATGGCAACGAATTAGTTTCCACGTGGGCCTTATCTAGCTAGGAAGAAAAGAAACTTGAAACCTACTGGACTCGCTTTGAGAGCTTTTTGTCTCCAAAGAGCAACTTTCGGCTGTCAAGATACAAACTCAGGACCCTGAAGCAACATCCTGGTGAGTCAGTGGATTCATTTGTCAAGAAAATTCGAATTCTGGTCGAAGAATGTCGATTTATGAAACCTGATGAGCACATCATCGACGCTGTTGTTTTTGGATCTAACTCCAAGCGTACACAAACCAAACTCCTGGACAAGGACGCCACTCTCACGCTTGATACCGATCTGGATATCGCCTGGACCGAAGAGGCAACAAATAATCAAATTAAAGAAATTTCACCTGGCACCTCAACTCACGTTGACTAACGTTGTCCACATCATGCCGGCATAATTTTCAGCATAATAGTGAGGAATCAGCATCGATCATTATGCCAGCATAATAGTAAGAAAAATTCCCGAAAATATGTCAAAATATCAAAAATAAATACATCAGAGTTAGGTACAATCTCGAAATTGAGATTCCTGATTTCCTGTGGAGAAATATGTGACAATAGACTAGGGCTTAGACTGCCCTTCCCCACAGGAAACGGACGTGGCCACGTTGGGCAACT